CTACTACTACTACTACTACTACTACTACTAGTACGACTACTACTACAACTACTACTATTACTAATACTACTGCTACTACTACTGCTACTACTACTACGACTACTACTACTACTACTACTACTACGACTACGACCACTACTATGACTACTACAAGTACTACTACTACTACTGCTACTACTACCACTACTGCTACTACTACTACTACTACTACTACTACTACTAATACTACTACTACTACTACTACTACTACTACGACCTACGACTACTACTACTACTACTACTACTACTACTACTACTACTACTACTACTACTACTACTACTACTACTACGACTACTTCTACTACGACTACGACTACTACTACTACTACTACTACTACTACTACTACTACTACTACTACTACTACTACTACTACTACTTCTACTACTACTACTACTACTAATTCTACTACTACTACTACTACTACTACTACTGACCACTACAATAAACTACTGCGACACTACGAAATACTACCTCTACTCCTACTGCACTACTACTGCTATACTAGACTAACTACGACTACTACTACTACTACTACTACTAACTACTACGACTACTACTACTACTACTACTACTACTACTACTACTACTACTACTACTACTACTACTACTACTACGACTACTACTACTACTACTACTACTACTACTACTACTACTACTACTACTACTACTACTACTACTACTACTACTATCACTCATAAAATAAACCAAAATAACGCGAATAAATCGCCGGCCAAACGGGCCAGAGACGCGCTAGGATCTCCAATAACTGCAAACAGTGTTTCTACTTCGCGCGCGCGGAGCAGCCCCTGGGAGTCCCCGGGCGAAAAATGCCCAGGGCGGTCCCCGGCCGGGTCGGGTCAGAGATGACTTTTCTCCTGGGCGCCGCCCTCGAGACCCTCCAGAGAGCCCCAAGAAAGGCCAACAGTGCCACCAAATGCCCCCAAGATAAAACAAGGGGGTTCCGAGATGCCACAATATCGCTCCAAGATGCCCAAGATTATCCCCAGACGCCCCAAGAGGCCCCCAAAAGCACTCCCAAGAGGGCCCCAAGAAATTGAATCCATTGATTTTCCAAAGGTTTTGGACAGATTTGGCCGTTTTCCCTTTACGGCTTCCCGACGCTTCAAGACGGCCCACGAGGTCCCCAAGATCGCCCCAAGAGGGCAGGGCCCAAAAGGGCCCCAAGAGAGCCCCAAGACGGCCCAAGAGGGCTCCAGGACCGCCCACAACGACTCCAAGACGGCCCAAGAAGGCCCCAAAAACGCCCAAGAGAGGCCCCAAAAGGGGGAACACGAAACAAAATTTCGAGCCCTCGGCAAGAAGGAGCCCCCAAGAGGTCCCCAGAGGTCCCTAACAGGCCCCACGAGGCCCCCAACAGGCGGTCAGGAGGCCGCCATGAGGCCCTCACGAGCCCCAAAAAGGCCCCGGGTTAAGACGTCCCCGAAAGCCTCGGAGAATTCCCAACAGCTTCCTGCGCACTGCCCTCCGGAAGCTCACGTCAGCGCTCCGAGGAGACGGGGCAGATGGGATCCAGAAGTGTGAGAAAGGAAAGACAATGAGAAGGAAACCGCACCGCGAGCCTCACGCGCACACAGTCAGGAACGGCGCGCTTGCTGAAACCAATATCGCAATCCAGTGCTGACCTACCTAAACACAACAACATACCGGGGAACACCATCCAGGAGAAGAGTATGGAAGGGAAAAGAACCACCAAAACTGATCCTGCACCCCGCGAACGGAATGACAATCGACAGCAGGACAAGATGAGAGCCGATGTTCTCATTCAAAGCGCGCCACCCTCCGACACGAGGGTTCCATCATCGCATCAGGCCTCTCCTCCTCTCACTCGAACGGCCCCCAAGCGAGCGTCCGCAGGCATTAAGCCACCACGAAACACCAGAAGCCCTACAGGGCGGCAAACACCCAGAAACCACGTAAGAAGCCAACGAACCTTTGACATCTTCTCCACAATGTCCAAACGACCGCCACGCGGCTGCTCCACGGGAGCTGCTTCAACCTCAGACATGCCGAAAACAGTGTCTCGCAGACACACACACGCCGACCCTGCAGGTCCGCACTGCCAACGACTCGGCTAGCCGACCCACCGGTGCGTAAAAATGGGCCGGCGGAGTGATCGAAACGATTCAAAAAAAATTACGACTACGACCGCGACTACTACTACTACTACTACTACTACCACTACTACTACTACTACTACTACTACTACTACTACTACAACTACTACTACTACTACTACTACTACTACTACTACTACTACTACTACTACTACTACTACTACTACTACTACTACTACTAATACTACTACTACTACTACTACTACTACTACTACTACTACTACTACGACTGCTACGACTACTACGACTATTATTACTACTACTACTACTACTACTACTACTACGACGACTACCACTACAAAAATTACGAGTACTACTACTACGA